CTGTCCCCCCATCCTCCAGCACCCCAATCTTCTTAGATCCCTTCTGTTCCCAGACCCTCTCTGCCCCCCCAGCACCCCAATCTTCTTAGATCCCTTCTGTCCCCAGACCCTCTTTGCTCCCCATATCTTTTCTTGGATCCCCTGTCCCCCCATCCTCCAGCACCCCAATCTTCTTAGATCCCTTCTGTTCCCAGACCATCTCTGTCCCCCCAAGTCCCCAGCACCCCTCCTTCCTTCCCCATCTGCCCCTCGCCTTCCCCCCAGCCTCTCCTCCTCCTCACCCCCAGGGGTCCCAGCACCGCCTCCCCTCCTCTCAACCTGCTCCCCCCAAAAAACTCACTCCCGCGGGCGGGGCGGCTCGGAAGGCGCTGGGGCTGCAGACGGTCTGCTCCTGCAAGTGGCGGACGTCGCCGGGACTCTCGAAGGGATTCTGCACCCGGCCGGGAGTCTCGGGCGGCGGCGGCGGCGGCGGCGCCCCCCGCCGTTGCATCCCAGCTCTTCTCCTCTCTGCAGCCCCCGCAGTAAGTTTCCCCCCGACCTGCCGCCCCAACGCTTCCTGCCGAGGCGGACGGCTCTTTAACTCCTCCGCGCCAGCCGGCCAATCGGCGCGCGGGAAGGGGGAGTTCCCCGCCCCCTTCCTTCGAAGCAGCCTCTCCGGGTAGAGGCGCCGCCGCATTCAAAAGGGAGCGCGACGCCATTGGCTGGGGACGGCGCTCCCCCTCGCCCTTCTCTTTCTCTTTCCGCTCTATGGTAGCCGCGGTCGGTTTTTCTCCTCCCCCGCCCCCCGACACTTAATCTTCTTTCCGTTAGGCTTCCGGGTGAAAGGTCGCGGGCGCTGCCGCCATGGCGACCTCCTCCGGCAACTTAAACGCCGTGAGGGAAACGATGGACGGTGCGTCTCTTCTGTTGGAGGGGGCGGTGGGGGGGGAGGAGGACGACCCTCTTCCTCCGGGGCTCCCTCGAGGCCATGCAGACGAGCCCCCGGAGCGAACTGACCCACCCCATCCCCCGTTTTTTTTTTTTCTTTTTTTCTTACAGTGCTGATGGAGATCTCTCGGCTGCTCAACACCGGCCTGGACGCCGAGACGCTCTCCATCTGCGTGCGGCTGTGCGAGCAGGGCATCAACCCGGAGGCCTTGTCCGCTGTCATCCGGGAGCTGCGCAAGGCCTCCGAGGCCCTGAAGGTGCGGGGAAGAGGGCGGCCCGTGACGCCGGCTCCTTTGGCGGCGGGGATGCCGGGAGACCCCCACCCCACCCCCATCCCAGGCCGGAGAAGCAATTCCTTAATCCCTCTATTCCCAGACCCTCTTTGCCCCCCCCATAGGCCTCCAGCACCCCTCCCCCTTCTTCTAGATCCCCTCTGCCCCAGACATTTTGCCCCCCCCAAGCCTCAGGCACCTCCCCCCCCCTTCTCTAAGAGCCCCTCTATTATCCCCAGATCCTCTTTGCCTGCCCCCCAAGCCTTAAGCACCCCTTTCCTTTATTCTAGATCAGCACATTCCGGGTGGAATGGGATGGGCAAAAAATGGGGTGCACAGAGGCCAAAAATGGCATGTGGAGGCCGAAAATGGGGTGCATTATTGCAATGGCAGTCCCTGCAGCCTGAAACAGCGGATGGTCGGAGGCTTGTGCTAATCAGGCAGGGCTAAAGCTGAAACAGGCAGTTTGCTGCAAGGAGGCCAATTGCTGGGAGGCAGGGGCCCAAGGGTGGAGGCCGAAGGGTGGGCAGGGTTTCGGCAACATTTGGTGCATAAGACGCACAGGCATTTCCACTCACTTTTCCGTGGGTGGGGTGTGTGGAAAAAGTGTCTTATATCTGAAAAATGTGGTATATTTCCCAATGAATTGGCAGCTCTTGGGCAGCATGATTTCCACAGGCATTTTAGACAGGACGGTTGCAATAAATGTTTGGTATGTTGCTATTAATTTGCAGCAGCTTATGAACCTACCCTGGTATAATCAAAATCCTTTTTCCTAGGCTGCTGACAATATGACAAGTTAAATCAGGAGAAGATTTTTTTTTTTTCACTGACATGAAGCTCCTGAGAATTAGAAGATTTTGCCTTTTATTCCTAGAAGATTTTTGTTGAAGATGTTGTGTAAGTTTCTCACAGATGTAGAAAATATAGTGCTTTTTAAATACTTAATAACCAACTATTTTTCAAAATGCATTTTGTATCCTTGCATATGTTTTAAAAATCTTATGTATTAACAGACATTTCTTTTATTGACCCAGTTGAACCATGTGCCTCATATTTGATAAAATGCTGACTATCGTTCAGATGTAGCCAATGGACTTAACATTAGAAGATGGACATCTTCATGAAGGAGTTCACTACGGTGGATTAATTTTTAAAGGTTTATTTCCTGTATATTTCCAATTTGCTGGCTGTTTTGTAGTTAAAACAATTGCTTATACTGTGAAAAAAAAGGTCAAAAAATAAATTTCAAATTCAAATGTATCCAGTTGCACCACCAACATATTTAACCTTCAGGTTAAGAATGAAGTTTACATGTTGCAGTTCCGAAAATAGAACTAAAATGAAACAGCATCGTTTTAGTCAATCGGAATAGAGCTGGAAGGGAGCTTGGAGATCATCTAGTCAAATCCCCTGCGCAAGCAGGAGCCCCTAGACCAAGGGTCTTCAAACTTGGCAAGTTTAAGACTTGTGGACTCCAACTCCCAGAATCCCGGAGCTAATATGACTGAAGAAGGAATTCTGGGAGTTAAAGTCCACAAGGCTTAAAGCTGTCACCCCTGCCCTAGACCATTTCAGACAAGTGGATACCCAGTCTCTTCTTAAAAACCTCTGGTGACGAACTACCCACAACTTCTGAAAGCAAACTGTTCCACTGGTTAGTTATCCTCACTGTTAGGAAGTTTCTCCTTAATTCCAGGTTGCTTCTCGATTAGTTTCCATCCATTGTTTCTTGTCCTGCCCTCTGGTGCTTTGGAAAATAAGTTGACCCCACCCCTTTTCCTTCTGGCAGCCCCTCCAATACTGGAATAGTATTACGCCAAAAAATATATACACTGCTCAAAAAAATAAAGGGAACACAAAAATAAGACACCCTAGATTTGAATGAATGAAATATTCTTATTAAATACTTTGTGCATTACGTAGTTGAATGTGCTGACAACAAAATCACACAAAAATTATCAATGGAAATCAAATTTAGCAACCCATGGAGGTCTGGATTTGAAGTTACACTCAAAATTAAAGTGGAAAAAAACACTACAGGCTGGTCCAACTTTGATGTAATGTCCTTAAAACAAGTCAAAATGAGTGTATGTGGCCTCCACATGCCTGTATGACCTCCCTACAACACCTGGGCATGCTCCTGATGAGGTGATCATCTGAGGGATCTCCTCCCACAGCTGGACTAAAGCACCCCCCAACTCCTGGACAGTCTGTGGTGCAACTTGTCAGTGGATGGAGCGAGACATGATGTCCCAGATGTGCTCAATTGAATTCAGGTCTGGGGAACGGGCGGGCCAGTCCATACCATCAATGCCTTCGTCTTGCAGGAACTGCTGACACACTGCAGCCACATGAGGTCTAGCATTGTCTTGCATTAGGAGGAACCCAGGGCCAACCGCACCAGCATATGGTCTCACATACCTAATGGCAGTCAGGCTACCTTGGGCGAGCACATGGAGGGCTGTGCGGCCCCCTAAAGAAATACCACCCCACAACATTACTGACCCACTGCCAAACCGGTCATGCTGGAGGATGTTGCAGGCAGCAGAACATTCTCCACGGTGTCTCCAGACCTTGTCACATGTGCTCAGTGTGGACCTGCTTTCATCTGTGAAGAGCACAGGGTGCCAATGGTGAATTTGCCAATCTTGGTGTTCTCTGGCAAATGCCAAATGGTCCTGCACGGTGTTGGGCTGTAAGCACAATCCCCACCTGTGGACGTCGGGCCCTTATACCACCCTCATGGAGTCTGTTTCTGACTGTTTGAGCAGCCACATGCACATTTGTGGCCCGCTGGAGGTCATTTTGCAGGGCTCTGACAGTGCTCCTGTCCCTCCTTGCACAAAGGCGGAGGTAGCGGTCCTGATGCTGGGTTGTTGCCCTCCTACGGCCTCCTCCACGTCTCCTGGTAGCGCCTCCATGCTCTGGACACTATGCTGACAGACACAGCAAACCTTCTTGCCACAGCTCGCATTGATGTGCCATCCTGGATGAGCTGCACTACCTGAGCCATTTGTGTGGGTTGTAGACTCCGTCTCATGCTACCAGTAGAGTGAAAGCACCGCTAGCATTCAAAAGTGACCAAACCATCAGCCAGAAAGCATAGGAACTGAGAAGTGGTCTGTGGTCACCACCTGCAGAACCACTCCTTTATTGGGGATGTCTTGCTAACTGCCTATGCTTCCTACCTGTTGTCTATTCCATTTGCACAACAGCATGTGAAATTGATTGTCAATCAGTGTTGCTACCTAAGTGGACAGCTTGATGTCACTGAAGTGTGATTGACTTGGAGTTACACTGTGTTGTTTAAGTGTTCCCTTTATTTTTTTCAGCAGTGTATTTTGAACCAATCTGGTCCTGAATGAAACAATGTCTTTTGGACTAAAGAATCTTGCAAACTTTTATTACAATCGTGCTTGTTGATCAAGCTTTGTAAATGCTGCTCCTTAGCCATAGTGTGCAAATGGCTATTGCACACTATGAAAACAATGTCAGCTCATCAAAACGCTGCAAAAGATATCCCTGACTTGTTCTCTCAGTTTCACAGGGAAATGTACATCTAATGAAAATGGAAAGTTGTACTTAAATCACCAGTAAGAAAAAATATGCGATGAAGATATATTATCAGAGCTAGTTTGGTCTAGTGGTTAAAACCACCAGACTAGAAAGAGTTCAAGTCCTGCCTTAGCCATGAATGCCAGCTAGGTGACTTTAGGGCAATCATTCTCTTAAGTTCAACCCAGCTTATAGGGTAGTGGTTGTGGAGAAAATAGGTGGAGGGAGGTGTGTTGAATACATTCTCTGCCTTATTTGTAAAATAATAAAGAGATGATAAATAAATAAAAAAGGTAAAGCTTTTAATGTGTTTATGAAAAAAAAACATGTTTGCTTTAAATACTTTTTTTTTCTCATATAAAAAAATGGTTGGTCTTGCCATTAAACTAATCTTATTGGATTGTGTGCTATTAATACTGGCAAAACTCTGTGTTTATCTTTTGTTAAATGTAGCCTGAAAGAAAACAACCTTGTTTTCCCCAGTGTGATGTATTTTCACGACATAATTTTTGGAACCTGTAAGTGTTAAACATTTCAAGAACTGGAGTTTGCTTTATGGTAAATAAAAGCAGTCCTTGTGCACATAACTGTTTTGTCTACATCATTAATGGCTGGGACAAGTGTCATTTTGTTGAAATGTGTATCTGTCCTTTGAAAATTATAGTCAGGTCCTACCTTTCTGCATTTTTTTTTTGTCCTTATGTGATGCCTCTGACACTGATGGATCTGATGAAAAGATGGAAGTTTCTAAGTAATTTGCAAATCAACTTTGTGTTCCAAAGGATGTTACCTGCTTTGCGTGTATGTGCGTGTTGAGGAAGGCAACTGCAGAAGAAGATGCTAAAATATAGAAAAGGAGAAGGGGAGATTGAAAACTCAAAAACAGTATTGCAACATTAAAAAATAGCCAAGCAATCCAGTAAAAAAAAAAAAACCTTTCTAAGAAGTGAGTGATCAGAGGCTGGTCAGAGAAATAAGAAACCAAAGGAGCAATATAATATTTTTCCACAAATGTTTTCATCAGCTTTTCACTTTGGAAAAAGTAGACTTCTGTGAAATATTTATTTGCCTCTGAAGAAGTAGGCCCAGCTATCAAGCCTCACCCTTTTGATAGTTCAATGTTTTCAAAATAAAAAGCTGGCAAATTCATGCAGGGTAACCATCGTATTTGATACAAGCATCTGAAAAACATGGTCAGGTCCTGCATTTGCTAAACTACTATTTAGTGTTCTCAACGTGTTCCACCAGATGGCAACCAACCCTTGACATCCAAGCTGAAAGAAGGCTTTATAACAAGATTTCGTTGCACTAACTTTTGTATGTGTGTGTAAGCACAGAATCTGTTCTGGCAGTTATCCTTCCAGATTCGCCGGATGAGGGACGGGAGAATAAAAGTTACGAAACAGATGTAGATAATTTGAAATATCCCTGAAGAAGATGACAGTCCTGAAAGGCTGGATGTCCATGTGTTCCTTTCATCAGGAGTAAGCCTGCCTGCTTCAAGCGTTTGGTCCATGGTGCTAATGATGATGACCCTTGTGAAGGAAGTGCTCCCTGGGGATCTGAGAGGCAATGTCTCCTTAGCCATCTTGCCTACTCTAGATCTGTTAGAGGGTCATTCCTGGCTGATGTCTGGATCCTTGGAACACCAACTTCTCAGAAGCCTTATCCTCCTTTAAATACATTAGAAAATAAATATAAGAAATCAGATTAAAATTCCATATAGAGGAGAAGCAGGGGTCATCCTAGGGCTTCCAGGTCACCTGGTTGATCACCTGGAACCCAAACTCTGAAGGGAACTTCCTTGCCTGTTTTCTTGAGGGGTGGGGAATCCACCAACAGGAACACCTGGGTTTAAGATCTTGCAGTGGGTCCATAAGAGTTGGAATCCACCACAAAACCTCCATACCAGACCTTGCCGGACAGGCAGATGCTACCAAGATAGGATGGCCTTGCAGGTACTCAGGTCCTTGAGCCACAAAGGGCTTTAGAAAGGAGAGCCAGCATGGAAATACAACTGGCAACTCCCTTGAGCATGAATGGTCAAGCCTGATTTACAGCCAATGTTGCTTAAGGTTTGCGAGAGCCATTTGGGAGAGTTTGCACTGTCCAGAGATGTCCAAAGCAAGCGTGGGATTTTGGGGCGAGATTCTGCTTCTTTACCCTACCTGAAATGGTGTGTTTCCTGGCCATGCCTTTGAAGGGCTGACATAGAGGGATCCTCTCCTTGCTTTCTCTTGCCTTCAACCATTCTTTGCAATATGGCTGCTATTCCAATGGACATGGTAATTTTAATTCCATCCCCTTTATTGGAAAGCTTCCTCCCATGTGCTTCCAAAACAATTTATTTTCACGAAAGTAGAAAAGTATTTCCTGGCCTTTCATAACATTTTTCTCTATCGCCATATCCTCCGTGCACAAAGACGCACTGCCCCAATGCATAGGTGATGTGTATGGAGGAAACCCCACCTTCCTTTAAAAAAATTGGCTGTGGTGATCTTTTCTGGGGTAGCCGATCTTAGCTAACTAAGCATTATGACTTCTGTGGTTGTTAGTTGCAAAGTCGTGTCCAATCCATCGTGACCCCATGGACAATGTGCCTCCAGGCCTGTCTGTCCTCTACCATCCTCCAGAGTCCATTTAAGCTCATGCTTACT